TCAATATCCCAAACAAAATTATACATTTCCATTCTATAAAAGAAAATAAATTACATCTTTTGCAAATGCATTTAATCTTTGAAATTTGTGTATATATAGCAAAGGGATCAAAGTCACATAAACACCAAATATTCATTAGAGTCCAAAATGCTCAATAACATTTTAACCAATTAATTCCCAATTAATAAGATGGCTACTACATGGCAAAATAGAAATTTTGAGGGAATTCAAATGTAGACATTAAAATGGTTAAATTAGATACATTAACACCAATTCAAGGCTTAACTTTTGCTTAAAAACAGTAAAAAAAAAAAAAAGAAAAAGCTGAGTCACAGAAACACCTGCAGCTACACAAACAAGGTGAGCAGGGCAATCCCATTTATGATCTTTCCTCATCAGAGATGGAGGAAAAAAGGGTTTGTGGGAAGGTTCTATGCAGAAAGCCAGCAGCTCAGTTTAAGCCCCTGGCTCTAAGATACTACCAGCAATAAATACACACACCAAACACTCTTGATAAACAAAAATCAATACCTTTTATGTATCGTGTCCCATTGGCACAAAATAAATGCCAAATCATTCTTTAGACAGGAAAGACAAGGCACTTTCCTTCCCTTCCAATTTGAATACATGTTCCATTCTTTCTCTTCAAAATGAATGTTGTTTTCCAAAAGCTTTTAACTTATTTCACTAAGTAACAAAACACTAAAGCCGAATCATTATTCTAGACTGGACGGATGAAGCAGACGTGTTTTATCCAGTTTCAAAGCTTTGAGGGATTGTATTTGAGTGAATGAGTCAATGCAATCATCTGGTTTTCCTTAGATAGAAAACTTTGTATCAATTTGCTGTATGATTTGGTTAAACTGTAAAGTGCCTTGAGATGACATGTGTTGTGAATTTGGCGCTATATAAATAAACTGAATTGAATTAAAAGCTAATAAAGAACTCCCAACCCTAACTCCTCTAGAACTGCTGATTATTTCACAAAGAAGAATTCTTTAAAAGGAGAAGAATATTATGAACAACTGTGAGCATCCTCTTCATCAGACGGTTACACAACAACAGTTTCTTTGGTAAGAGGCATCTCCAGATCAGCTGCAACACAGACTGGTACATTGGATCCTTCCTGCCTACAGCGGTCAATGTGTACAACAACTGGAGCATTTAATTTACCTTTGGGATTAATTAAGGTTTGTTTTAATGGAATTGAATACATTTTTTGAATAAATTAATTTTGAATTAATTTCATTTTACAATGAGGGGAATCATGGTTTTTTAGAAGAAACACATTTATTTATTGTCAGTCTTTAAACGGACCACCTTGTATATGAGGAGCCAGTCAGAGGCGTAGCCAGAAATTTTTTAAAAAGGTGGCCAGGCAATATCCATTGTACACTGAGGGGTGGCCGAAAGTGGATAGGCACCAGAACCTCAGAGTCAATCTACACTGTTCCAACAGGAAAATTAACGAGCAAAACATCAATATTTTCTAAATAAAGACCAATTATGCTTTCCTACAGCCTTTGCTAACAAATAGACGCATATATTTAAACATCCGTAATTTCTAGATAAAAGGTATAGCGGATAAACCTCGGTTTTAAGTTCTGGGGCGTAAATCAATCATCATTGTCATTACTTACCTACTTGTATGAATAAACATTCTGCATAAAATTTATATTTACAAGCACTATAATCTAAATAAATTGATTATTTAATAAGCTTTTATTAAAATACTGTAGTTATCTATGATTTCACTGAAGACTCCTAGATGACTTACAGAGACACATATTTTTCCCTTTACGCCATAAAATACAAAATCTAATTCTGAAAAGAACATGAATTCTGTACTTATCATCTTTGATGTTAATATATTGATGTGTAGAATTAACCACAAAAAAATAAAATGTTTAGAATATTCCACTTGAGAGTATTACTGCTGCCACTGTCTGTATTGGAGGGGAAATAATGGTAGGGGTGGCCACTAATTGGCTAAGGGTGGCCATGGCCACCCACCCCTGGAGCAAGTCTGCAGAGAGCAGCAACCCCTTAGTGAGGTCAGATAAGTAAGAAAAAAAATCAGATATAATAACCCCTTTTTAACCTAAAGAGGGCACCAAACATGCATATTTTCACACAAAAGCAGAGTTTAAACAAAAGTGCAGTAAATTGTTAATAATAATGCCAGAGATAAATATACTGTTCTATAAGGCATTGATTCATACAATCAATCAGCATAAAAAGGAATAGATTTATGGATAAGAGGTCCTTTAATATTCAGTAGGCTTAATAGGTCAGTTCATGTTGTATTGTGTTACAGTAGGAGAAGAATTTATTTTTACATCCAGCTTTAACAGTTTTAGTTATAGTAAAAATGGTATAGTCAAGCACATAACTGATTTAATAGGGAATCAAGTGAGGGAAAAGCCTATTCAATTGTTAAAGTGAAATATATAAAAACAGAGCAGGCGGGTCAGGGCCGCAGAAAGTGGGGGTGCTAGGGTGCCCCAACACCCCCTAGTTATAAAAGAGAAAATTAAATAAATTATTAAAAATACTTGCATAATTTATACATTTCTTATGAGTATTTTGGGAAATGATTTAGACTTTTTTATTTTACTATTACGTGTATCTGGAATTCTAATCAAAATATTTAGCAGGAAGTTCACGGAAGTTATGTGGTCATGGCAACGTCAAGCTAGTGGTCTATGAGGTATCCCGCTTGAGGTATCCCTTGTAAATGTACATAGTGTAATGACCAAAACACATTTGTTTTTTTGAAATATCACCACCAGAAGAAGAACACTAGTACCGCAACCACGACAACGGAGAGCAACCAAAGTGAGGAGACTGTCCACACGGCGTGTCTGATGGTAGTTGCACCAGCAGGCACAGTTCCAGGACCCGCAACCCAAGCTAGCCTGCTTGGATTAGACCGGCCCCAGTTTCAAACTTCCTGCACAGCATTGGGGTAATGAAACCTTCTCATGCTCTGTGGCACCGGCTTTGTTTGCTAGAAGGCAGTGGCTGCATTATGTGGAAGACACTGATCAGATTTTGTGTCTCGTTTGTATGAAAGCAGTCAGAAAAAAAGTCATACCTAAAGTCAAATATAAAAAACCCAACCGTTTCATGAATGCTGGATTTTAAATTGACGTAAAGCCACTGAATGTTTTTTTTTATTATTGTTAAGTTTAATTAATATTTAATTAATGTAATTTAATTAATTATTGCTGTGTGTTACAGACCCTCGTTGCGTGCACTGAAGTGCATATGAAAATAAAGTAGTGAATCTCAATCCATTTATTTATTTCTATTTATTGTATTTTAAATAGGCCTATAGGCTCATAGGTCTTTTTTCAAAAAAAAATAAAATAAAATGTCACAGCAGCCCCTTATCAAAATGACTTCCAGCGGCCCTGGTTTGCAGTTTAAAGGCACCTTATCTTCCGGTGTTATAAGTCCAAAGTGCTGAAGAGACGCAGTTAAAACATTAACTTTTCAATACTTCTACTATTAACGCGGCTTCTTCTGTGCCTGTAATAATAGTGGAAATGAAATAAATTTCAAGAACCACTTAAAATAAAACAATACGCAGTGTGACTTAGGAGGCCTGTTTGGTTTTCAGTATTTAAATCCATGATATTAATATAAAGCGTTTTTTTTTTCACATTATAACGTAATTTAAGACCTTTATAAGTTTGGATTAAACAGCCTAAGTACCGGAAACAGCTTATTAAAAACTCCAATGATTTATTTCACTTTCCCAATGTTGTGTTTTACATTACCTTGTTGCTGGATTTCCCTTTAAAAACAAATCCTCTGCATTTTTCCTTCAGTCCAACTGGAGCGACAGTTTGAAACAGAGTAGAAAGAGCGTCTTGTTCATTTAAACAAAAACAGGAGAGGGTCCCAGTCCGGCTGTAATACGAGCGCTTTCTTTCTCTTCTTGAGCGTCTCCTTCTGCCCACCGGGCAACAGGTGTTCGTTTCACGTAAAGGTGACGCTCAGAGCCTCACCCCTTCTCTCTGTCCCTCCCCTCGCTGCTGCTTCCTTCTTCTCTCTAACTCATCATCATCCTGATCAGAGACCACATCCCAACTCTGAAAGCTTCTGAATTTTAATCCATTTTTTTTTTTTTTGTCTTGTTTGACATATTTTCCGTTGCCAATCCCCCTGATGAAGTCCAGCTCTGAAGCAGCCACCAGAGGGCGCCCTTCCCCTCATGTTGGAGCCCAGACAGCACCCAAGAGACTCACAGGGAAAAGGTCAAATCTAGTTTCCCTCACAGAAATTTCCAAAAGTACTACATAAATCTACTCTTTTACATTGTCTTACATTAAAACTAAAGTAAACTACAGCAAATTAAATGTATTTTAATTTGATGTGATCTGCCAACATAAGAAGTAAATTAATATATTTTGTAAAATGATGAAAATCAGAAGAAAAACTGAATCGAAAAAAAGAAAAAAAATTAAAACATTGATAATTTTAGTAACCACATATCCTGATAAGGTTGAGTCTTAAAAAAAGTTTTAGTGCTCATGTTCAATCCCTGCATTTTTGCATAAGTGGGCACGATATAGCTTGTAAATTGTGTCTTAAGAGTGTTTTTGAGATTGCCATTAAAAAACTACAATCCTGATTTAACAAAATGCAACGAAAAAGAAAACTCGAATAATCCTGTAATTCTAGACTTTCAGAAAATATGTTTGATTTCAGGTTAGATGTAAGAAAAATACCTTTTTTTATGCAGAATATGCAAATATGTAGTGTCAGTTGTGTTTGTAAAATGAACTAAAATCTTTAAAAAAAAAACTGTATTTATAAATCTGTTTAACTCCCAGGAAAGGAGAATCTAAGTATGTAAAATTTAAATGGGATCCGTCAATCCATTCCCACGCTCAAATTTAACAACCTTCAGTTTATCTGAAATACATCCTTTATTTTTTTTTTTGATACAACACTAGAAATAAGCTTGAAACATTCAAAACATTCAGTCTCTTTATTTTAATCATTCCAGTGTACAAAACAAAACATCTCTTCTAATCATTCTAAAAATCAAAAATAAAAACAAATACTTCACACACAGCATTTAAAAAAGAAGACCATGAAATATCTACTTGTGATTGTGATCCAAATTTTCTCAGAAGAACTTGTAAAAATAAAACTGGATAAAGATGTGATTTATTATAAAGCTACATTGCAAAAGCCACAGATGATCTGAGCTATGGCCTTGGAGCAGCAGTAAATAAAGTATGTTATGATTTATGTGTTGTGTAAGAGCAAACTGTAGCAGGCCAGCAGCTGGTCTGGCATCCTCTGCTGCTAATAAACCAGCACCAATTCTCTTAGGTCAGTCGTGCTTCTTCGAGGAGGCTAATAATGCGTAGAAGACACAAGAGCAAACAGAGCAAAGAAAAAACATGCTTCAGTCATACATTTCTGCAGCATTTCATTAAAGCTTTGACATGATGCACTCCAGGATGAACACTGCTCTCTACAGCTTCAGGAGGAGACTTTGATCCCTTTGCTATATATGCTCAAAGAGTAAAGAGTCCGTCTGATCAGTCGCCAAAATCCGGGATGTCATCGTAGGAGTACCCTCGGTGACCCTTGGCGGCGTAGTAAGCTATCCTCAGATGGTAAAACCCAGGCAGGAAGACCAGCAGGCCGATGACGATTACGGGAATGGTGCGATCCGGATTCTGGAAACAAAAAAATTAATTGATAAACAGCTAATGATAGGAAGACAATTAACACACTGTCTGCAGTACAAAATGTAAGGGTCAGGCAGGAGGCTTTGCATGCATGATGGCTTCATTTGCTTCCTCTAATGTAAATCAGCAGCAGCTTCTTACAGAGGGGCAGAGAATCTCCAGAAAATAACTGTGCTGTGTTTTCTTCCACCACTAGATGGCAGTATAATGCTCTGTGTCAGAACAGGCGTCCAACTGGTTCTCAGAGGTGCACTGCAGCATTACTGCAGCATTAAAGCTTTAAAACAATCTGTTATAAGGTTTTATTCATATATATATATATATATATATATATATATATATATATATATATATATATATGCAGTGCAGAGTTTCAATTATATATCCGACTTTTCATTCTTAGAGACTTCTTTTTCTGACTAAAATTAAGCTGTTGTTCAGTTAAATCATTGAATTAGTGTTGGCTGCTCCAAAAACTCTTACAACCTTTATTTAGATTCGTCAAGAAAAGGAATTAGACAAAATTGCTTTATCTCTCAACTCTAGTTTTTTTTTTTTTCCCCACAAAAAGTGCTTTCTAACAAACCTTTTTAAAATAGATCTTCTCTTATCTTTTGATGTTAAGTACACAAATAAATCCAATAAGTTTTTGCAAACCTAATCAAATACATCACTCGTGTTACATTCAACAGAGCTCCTATATTTTTATATTTCAAACTCTTTAAGACTCACATTTCCTAATATTTTGGCAACACTTTTTAAAACGTAAAACAACTGTTTGTTTTGGATTTATGGTATTTTTTGTTTCTCACAGACAATTGTTAAAAAAAGAACCAGCAAAAACCAGTCAGTAAGAAGGTGAGTCCTTAGGAAAATGGGTGAATAGATGGTCGGCTGGATGCATCAAAGGGTGGATAGATATGCAAAGGTTAGAAAGGCTGGCTGGTTGGACGCCTGTACAAGAAGGAAGCTGAGTGGAACAATTTATTTTTAGGAATTCAATATTTTTCAAGTCCTAAAACATGAGCAGAAAGAAGAAGGAAAGAAAAAAAATCATTACAGCTTTTTGTTCTGACACTTGGCTGTTCCAGCTGGTGTTTTAAAGGTAGTGTTTAATGTTAATGTTTGTCAGGGTGTCATTAGGAACAGGCCCCGGGCGTTTTGACTTTACCAATCATAAAACTAAAAGCAGCCACGTCTCGTGGAGGTGAGCCAGCTGACTATCTTCAATTCCTGCAGGTTTCACAGCTCACCGAGTCGCCTAATGGGACCAAGCCAGCGTTAACAAATTCCATCTCACCTGGGCTTTTACAGCTATGATAAGTAAAAAAAAAAATATCTGCTGTAGGAAGACAGATCTATTAGTGTATTTAGCCTAAAGTGGTATAGATTCTAAAAGCAGCTTCTGGAAGCTTTATTTTATAGAGTGGTTCAATAAATATATAAGAAATGTAAGAAACTACTTTATATCAACTACCAATTTTCTCAAGTTCAAGGGCCACTATTTGCATCATTTATCACCTGCTACTGCTGAATATGTTATCAATGTATTATTTTTAAAGCAATGCAAATTAAATAAAAACAATGACCGGCATAAAAGGTGCTAAATCAGAATCAATAAAGGTTGATAAATGTACAGCTTACATTCAAAGAGAGTTCCTTTCACACGTTCATTCGTTGTCCTAAACACACAGGTAACTGGGCGTATTTTCACCAAACAATATACAACAGTCTGAATATTGTTAGATTAAATATGATATTTCCCACCCCCACCAGGGGGGTTATGAATATATGATATTTTCACAAACAGCCAACAGCAAAAAAAACCAAAAAAAAACAAAATGCTTGTTTATTTAAAAAAAAAAAAGACCTTTAACAGCCACCAAGCATGGCTCTCCCTGAAATGCTCCCTATAATTTACATGTGCTCAGTGGGGCACTGGAGTTGGACCCAATTACTCAGATTACTGGAAATTAAAAATTGAGAAACACATGGATGCGTGTGCGGTTAAGCACATGTTAACTATGTTGATCACAAAAAACGCCATGCTGAGCAAAACAGAAAATAATGACATGTTCACAGCAGTAGGCATCTCTCTCTGAGACCTCAAACCCTGAAAAACTTTCAAAGATTTTCAAGAGACTGCTGTCTTTCACTTTGCTGATTCCTTTCTTTATAAATAAACTTTTTTATTTTTTCACAAACATATATGGAAATCCAGTAACATGATTTCAAATTCCAGTAACGCTTTAAATTAGACTACCAGGGACCAATGAACAGTGCTGCATAATTTTCCTGTGAATGGCAACCGGCTGGTCATTATGGAGACCACTGATTTTAACTGCTGGTCAGTGTCTTGTTGATGATTTTTTTTCTGAGCGGACATGCATCGTTCTACACTTCATCAATGTTTGTTAAAGCCACAGTGCCCAAATCAGAGGGACAAATCCCCTGTACAACAAAGAGAAGACAAGACAGAGTTGTGAGCTCAGACAGAAGCAGCGGGGATTCAGTGTGAGAACACCAGGAGAGAGAGCTCCATAACCAGGATGATATGGCTAGTCGTGCCCCCCCTCTGGAGCTAAGGAACCACAGCTGTAGATCAGAGGAGCCCACTGGGCAGACAGCGTGCCAGAGCGGAGAGATAATGCAGCGAAAGAGGAGAGCGGAGGAGCACAGTGCTAGATCAGAGAAGCGGCAGGGTAGGGAAAGGCTACAGCTCACCAAGGCTAGCAAAGCTAACGGTGAAGGACTAAAGGAGCATGGTGGAAAGTTTAATAAGTCCCCCGGGGAGAAAGTATGCTGAATGTGGGGCAGAGGCTACTGCTGGCCGGGAGTAAAGGCTGGTTTATACTCAGAAACCAGGTCGTCTGAGTGTGTGTCGCAGCGAACACAAATGTGCCCCGCCCCTTCCGCAGAGACTCTGGTGCACCTCTCCAAAATTTTAGGTGACTGCAGACAGTGCTGCAGATAGGAGACCTGTGATTGGTCAAATCTATATCCACTCTACACTATGCGTTTTTCCTGTTTGGTACCTTACAGGCTCTTTACGTTTTTATGACGAAATGTTTGTGGAAAACGACTTGTGAATTGGGACCAGCTAGAAGTGCGAGGTGTGCGAGAACGCTGGGACCCTTTTTACCACAACTTCACTGAGGGTGTCAGATTACGGCTGTGTTTCGACACAGCGAGTCCCACTGACATCACATCTTCCAACCATGTGCCGCAGCTTCTATAAATCCACAAAGAAAACCTTTTTCCCTCTCTTATGCCAGACCCCGGTATTGATGCAAAGGAAAGACCTGATTTTGCAGCTGGACATCATGTTACATGTGGTGCAATCTCCGGAACTGTAGTCCGTTTTTGCTAAATCCCTCTTCGAAATAGCTCTGAGCTGAAAATCCAGCAAAAGCCTGCCGGTGCGCCCGTTCTGAGACACCTTTCTCCCAGTCCCAAATCAATTTCTTGTATACACTGACACTCAAATACGTGTGTGCGTCATCGTTCTTGTGAAAGGCAGCTTGGTTTATTGCCCAAAGATATTTCTGTGCCGTTTTTTTGTGCGGTCCGTTATCTTGTGGCAGGGTACCTACAACATAAGGCAAGTTAAATTCAAGACTTTTTAAGACTTTTTAATGCCACTTGAAAAAAAAATTTAAGACCAAATTTACAAGAAGCACAAGAAAAACCCGCTTGCGAAAACTTTACCCAAAATTTTGAAACCAATGTTTCAAAATTTAAAAAAAAACTTCCCATACAGGAAGAAAGCTATAAACATAAATGACAGATATATTTTAACAATTGTTCAACTGAATTCACAAACTTTGTTT